GCCATTATTAGTCTCAAAGTGGGTTCCTCGTCATCGAATCCTGTTTATATATATGTCACTTTCTCACCAGCTAATGTTCATCACCAGACGGCCATACAAGTTTCTTTATTCCAAAATGAGCTAAGTATTGGAGAAGACCGCCATCTTTTTCTCAAATGAATGTAGTAAAAAAAAAAAAGACTTTCATAAATAAACGTTTGAGTTTAATCTTTTTATAATGATAAAATTAAAATGTCTTTCATCGACAGTTTAATGCTTTATATTATTAAACATATATATATATATATATATATATATTTTGCATGAAATGTGCCCCCCCCCCAGTGGCACAGCCAATTATGTAGCTTTATGCTTAATTACAAGCAAACAAAGCCAAGCATGAAACATTTTTGTACTTTAAAATGAATACTAATTTCAGTCCAAGTTCCTTATTTATTTGAGCTATAATTTTCATTAATAACAAATCTTAGTAAGAACTATAACAAGTGTTAGTATATTACTCGAGCTTATAAATATATTGATGTTATTCTTTTACCTACTGATCAAGGATTTGACACATCAGAATCCACAATGCGTTAAATAAAAAAATATATTAAAAATCAAGATAACTCACAGTATGTAACATGAGTAGTATTTACTTCTTGAGCCTGACAAGTACAAGACGGACACTGGCCTTCACGTGATTTTTCCTGTAGTTCACAGCCCTCCGGACACTCTGGTATTTCACATGCTATGCAGAGGCATAATTTACATCCATCAGCATCGTCTACTATCACACAGTCGTAACCCTCGCACACGGGAACTGGACAACGTTTATTATCGATGTTGGCTAAATACGAAACGTATAGACAAGTAAACCTCAGTAAGAACTTAAGTCGAAACAGTTAAATATCTAGTTGGTATGTGATTTTTGAAATTACTCTGAATTATACAGAAAGTTGAGTGTATTTTAGTAAAACGATTTTGAAAATGCAAATAAATATGTCACGTAGTAATCAGTCAATAAAGTCACGGTGGAATGGGATGTATCAGGACTACATTAAAATATTGCGAAGAGTGTTATGACACCAATAAGTCATCGCTTTTGTAAAAGGTACACAATACCCCTTTCCGATGCAAGTATTCATACACTCAAATTATAAAGCTGTAATCAGAATCAAATTATAAAGCTGTAATCAGAATCAAATTATAAAGCTGTAATCAGAATCAAATTATAAAGCTGTAATCAGAATCAAATTATAAAGCTGTAATCAGAATCAAATTATAAAGCTGTAATCAGAAGGGGGATTTATAATTTACTACACGGATATCTTTACACACACACACACACACACACACACACACACACACTTAATTACTGGAAGATAAATGTGGGTGAAATTATGGCACCAAGACCAATCAGAAAGAGGTCTACAACAAATACTCTCGTGTCAAAAGCCGTCCACACACTTCAAGCAACAGTAAGAAACATAATAAAGGGTCTTCATCTGGAAAAAAAAAAAAGACTTAATTCAGACGTACAAAAATTGCTTGCATGACATAGCTGGAAAATGAAAATAGTATTCCCGCTATTTCATCTGAAGATATGGCGATCATTGGACGTAGAGCCTGTGGATTTCTGTGCAATTGACCTGTTAGAACGGGCACTCATGAAGTGTCATCCTCCTACACTGAAAGCAGGAAGGAACGATGTGCTTTGAACATCACAGCCATACGAAAGCCATAAACCAAAGTACAGTACAATAATAACAGCATTTTTATTAACATAATTTCTAAATACCAGCTGTTTAGCTTACTTTGTAACAAAGTTGACATAAAAAAGATAATTTCAGTATATTATCAGTTATTACACCTGTATATTTATTAAAACTGTTTGATTAATTACATTATAATCAATGATAAATTTAAAGTTGTCTAATTTCAGTCTTATTTGTTATAACATATCCAGTTTACTATAACTGATGGAAAGTTTGCTTGTTGTCATCAATTCGTTTTTGATCTAGTATGTACAGTTTTCCAAAGAAATTAAATCATCATTAGAAAGAAAAAGATTAATATAATCATTAAACAAATTTATGTAATGCAGATAAATCTTTGATAAATCGTTAATATAATGTAAAAACAACAACGGCTCATGAATAGATAGAGGTATTCAACGAGAAATGTTAAATAATTCAGTTAATATTAAAATACATGTATATTGACATATCCAAGCAAGATAACCTTGTTGTTTTAAGAACAATTCCCCTTATTCCGTGATAATGAAGTTTGCAATTAAAATGTTCTAGTATTCTCACATTAAGTGACTTCCGGGAAAGCAATGTTATACTTTCACGGAAGTCATTTAATTAAGGTCCACTTTATAAGGGTAGATTATGCAGGATGATCACAGGTCAAATAAACTTAAATGAATAATTTAGGCTTAAAAACTAATAAGCTGGATACGTGATGGAAAGTGGATAATAACCTTTAAAAGTCAAATTTTGATGATAAAAAACAAAAAACGCGCTCTCCAGATAAATATAAAAAGACATTTTTATTTCAACCAGACGCACGTTACGACAGACTCGAGTAACAAAACATTACAAGCGGTTTTATAATTTAACGAATATTCTACTATCAAACAGGTGTATATTAACCCTGAAGCCGCAAAGACGACACGTTGGTCGAAATAAAAATATATTGACGTGTAGTGTAAAGGTTGTTTTCTCTAAAATTATCAATGTGTAAATCCCTCCAGTATGTGTTAAAAATTTTAAAAACAAAAAAGTCGCAAATAAAAGAAAAATTTGCATACTTGTGTAATAAACTGCACATTCGGCTTCCTACTGGACCTGCGAATTATTCAACAGTTCTTGTCCCTCTATAGGTATATCCACTGAACTAATTACATCGATAACTAAACAAGACTTATAAAAACCAACGTTCCTTCCTAAAACGGGTAACCTGGGTTTTGCCCAAATGTGATGCTCGGTTAAGTTCAACGTACAAAAACTAACTTCGATATATCATCTAATCGGTCAGTGAAGTGTATTGCTGTCATTGATCTATTTTTGCACGATATGTGCGTAGTTGGAGCAAAATTCCAGTGGGCAAAGTAGAAACTATCTGCTGAAGAAGAACGAAGATACAAAAGCAACTAGAATAAGACAGTTTTACAGACTACGTGTTTATGCCAAAACAGCAGAGGAACAGACTAAAGGATTTTTTTTAGATCCCAAAGATTTATATAAATAAAACGGGTAGAAAAAATAAAGGTGCTTGAATATCACATCTTATTGAACTGTATTAAATGATTTGAATATTTCAAGAAACTTTATGCAAGAAAAAAGTAGTGAATCATAATTTTCCGATTTTGTAAAACCTGCGGAGTGGTACATTAAAAAACAGCATAAAGTAGTAAAATGTTGCATGTTTATTTTATTTAATATATTTAACAGAAACATTTGTTTGGAAAACAACCCGGTTTTTTTGCTGTTAATATAATTGATACTTTTACCTTACGCTAGCTTAGAATGTTATCCATGTAAGCTATATAGAAATTTAAAACGTTATATATAAAATAGCAGCAGTACAACTCAAATAACAGTACATACCTAGTAATAAAAGGAATGGAAGTTAATGAAACACGTTTGTAAAGTTTAATCTACATTTGAAATGATTACGCATAAATTAACTTAAATTTTCAGGGCAGCATAAATTGATGTTTCACATTGAAAATAGTATGTGGAAAGTCATCTGATAATCATGAAACGCATTTAAAAGAAGAATTTCTCTATTCAAGTTTGTTTATTATTGGATATTTAGATAAAATTAACAGACGTTACAAGAACTAGATATCGGAATAACGTAGTAAAGTCCTCGTTTTTCTGTATGTATTTTTTTTTTTTTACACAAATTAGAATGTTCAGAAAATCACTATGCAATTATATTGCACCTTATCAGAACAAATATTGAAATAATAATAAGTGTTCCACAATTATTGGATTTAACTAGTACAGTTTGTGTTAAGAAAACTGTTTTGAAAAACGTTACATTTAATAATTTCAGTGGTCTTTTACAATATCGATTTTATTGTATTTCAGCTTTCATAAATGTTTCGTGATAAACTAATAACCTAACAAATATACACAATACTTTTGGATTGTAATTTCAGTCCAAGTTCATCTATATGAACTGTAATTTTCATTAACAACAAATCTTAGTAAGTGTTAGTCTAGTCGGGATTGTAAATATATTAATGCTATTTTTACCTACTGATCATTAAAAATCAAGATAACTCACAGTATGCAACATGAGTAGTATTTACTTCTTGAGCCCGACAAGTACAAGACGGACACTGGCCTTCACGTGATTTCTCCTGTAGTTCACAGCCCTCTGGACATTCGGGAATTTCACATTCTGCGCAGAGGCATAATTTACATCCATCAGCATCGTCTACTATCACACAGTCATAACCCTCGCACACAGGAACTGGACAACGTTCATTATCGATGTTGGCTAAATACGAAACGTATAGACAGGTTAATATCAATAAGAACTTAAGTTAAAACAGCTAAATATCTACTTGGTAATACGAAATTACTTTGTGAATTATACAGAAAGATAAGGTTTTATTAAAATGATTTTGAATATTCAAACAGGTATGTTACGTTATAATCAATCAATATAAAGTAGTGGTGGAATAGAATATATCAGAACTACATTATAATTGTCTTCGCAATTCTAAGCAATATGTGATGCCACCAGTAAGTTATCGCTTGTGCGATGGGTTCGTAACACCCCTTTTCCACCCAAGATATTCATAAAGATTTGTTTAAACTGAGGATTTAGAAGATACGGATATCACTTATATTTAATGGTAATGGACGACTACGGAATATGGATCGACCTTTGGTACCAGGATTCTCCAGAAAATATTGCATTATAAAAATAGCTTACTTGCATTAAGGTAATCATGAATGTTAATAGAAAACGTGCATTGAACAGTTATTAACAGAGGGAATCCAAAAATCAAGACAACTCACAGTATGCTACATAAGTGGTCTTAATGTCTTGAACGCTACAAATACACGTCGGACATTGGCCTTCATGTGTTCCCTCCTGTATTACACAGTCCTCCGGACACTCGGGGATTTCGCATGTTATGCAAAGGCATAATTTACATCCATCAGCATCATCTATCAACACACAGTGATGACCCTCGCACACTGGAACAGGACAACGTTCATTCTCGATCTTGGCTAAACACAAGATGTACCAGTACACGATCATACACTAGTAAACCTCAGTAAAAACTTAAGTCAGTTATTGAGCTGCAAGAACCATTTATAGAGAATCAAGTTCTAAAATGATTTCTCCTTAGGTTTACATCGCTTCTCTATTTCAGGTATGAAAAAAATAAGTGACACTGGAAAAATGCGAACATACAGAATCTTATGAACAGTAAGTGATTTTGCAGAAACTCGAAAATTACCAAACAAAGAAATATTTTAATTTATATTAAATAGCAGTATTATTTTAATCAGACATGCAAACGTGAGACTTACGTATCTAAATTTATCAGTCATTTTCCAGTTCGATCATAAAACAGATGTACGTTATCCACATCAGCAAAACACAACCTGGACAAACAAGATTACTTACCTGGATCAGAGGGGGCGCCACAGGTACAAGAAGGACAGTGATGTTTATCTATATTTTCCACTACACAACCTGGTGCACAGCTTTTAGTTGGACACTCTGGATTTACTTTGATGCCTGTAGAATGATGAACACAAACAAAAAGTCTTAGCTTTGAGAATGATCATATGCCCACAAATTATACATCGATGTATAGAAGCACGTGTAAATTTGCATTATCGAGCACAACATCATTGGTTGGTAGCGATGTTCTTTATGATGCTAATAAATCGCCGATGAACACTTCGAATGCATTATACTTATCGGCAATGAACAACCAATAATCACCTCAAAGACAATATAAGTAAGGACTAAATTAAATATTTAGAAAATCAGTAATATTCAAAACCCAAATTGTTAATGTAATATTCGCCTTTAAACACTAGTACTAATAATTAAAGGAAAAATTAATATTTAAGCTACACAAACGTATAATTTTCCCTTTATAAACAGACGTCGCTACCGGTTAAACAAGCTACCGTCCATTTGTTACAAGTGCAATCATTTTCAATTCTGGTTTTTACATTAGAAATATTTCGTGAAAAGTAACTAAAAAACTTACAGGTTGGAAGGGGTGGGCAAGGTCCTCCCTCACATAGGACGTGAAACATAACACACTGTTCGTTGTCCGCGCAGAAAATACTCTGAAAATATTCGCGATTCAGTTCATAGTAAATACAATTCGTGAATAGCTTCCCTTATTAATTGTCCGTTATTTCTAGTACGAAAGTGTTTGTGAAAATATGAAAACACAAGTAGACTCACTCTTAAAAGATAAAACAATTTATAAACAATCAGAAAAGAAAACTTTAACCGAACTACTAGTACGTTTACGTAGTTAAAGCAGCTACTGATAACTACAGTAAGGACCCAATACTTTATTTTTACAATAAGTTATCAAAAAACAAATTTATTTTTTGAAAATATCAGAAAACTGTTAGTAATTACATTAAATTATTTGGTCTTTACTGGAATACAGGTATCAATAATCTTCCTTATTTAATCTTGAACCTTATCATACCAGATATATCTCGTCGTCTTAGATAAGTGACTATTTATAACCCTGTACAACTTTGATTTTTATTATACCAAAACAAAAGCAGTGTTAACTACATTGTTTAACCTTTACCCTTATTGTAACTGAAAAGAGATCTTCATGATTGTGACTCTTGTTTTTACTTTTATTGTACCACAATAAAGGTATTGTTAAGTACAATATTTAGTCTTGATCTTTATCATACACGAGATAAAAGTGATTGTTAATGTTTAACCTCTGTCTTTATTTCTTAGCTTGTGTACAGGACATAACATTTTTCGAAAACTTAAGAAACTTACACCACAGGGATCCTTTTCATCTGGTGGTCCAATCAACACTACTTCATCGTTGTCATTTTCTTCAAAGTTTTCCAAGAGAAAAACAGTCCAGTGTTAGATTAAAACAAGCCGAAATATCAGTAGTGCAGATAGTGTAAACGATAAATCTTTAAAAATGTGGTAGATAAGCTACAGAAGCTAATTGCCAACGTTTTATTGGAAAATAAAAATTACAAGTTCTTCTACTCGTTATCACTTAGTTATATTCATAAGGGTTGTTTCGTTAACCACAAAGCTACACAAGGAGCTATCCATGCTGTCCCCATCACAGGTATCGAAACCCGATTTTAAGCGTTTTAAGCTACGAGGCTTATCGTTAAACTACTGAGGGTTGGAAGCATTATCCAGAAGGAAACCAGTTGTTGAAGATTAAGGTAGTGATTAAAGGAAAATTGAATTAATGTCACGAACTCTCCATTTTACTTCTCTTCGCTTCATCTAATTAAAGGTGATGGTTAAATGTTTTGTGTAAACAAGAATATGGCAACAATTACCCTGCCATTCTCGGCTAAATAATCCGACACTGCTTTATATTAATATAAAATGATATACAACGATTCAAGGCAAAATAACTTCTTTACATATCAATATGTAAATTGGGTGTATGTAATACTCATTCTTTCTGAACTTATGAAAAAATATTGAATGATATTGCGATTTTATTCACATGCTACTGTATGTATTATTGATAGTTCAAAGAAGAAATGAATGAGGAACGTTTAATTTGCTCTTACAATAAATGTTGCTATTCAGGTTTTATTATATAGTATAATCCTGGTATAAACTGACAGAACAGCTAGAATCACAGAAGGCTGATGCTCCACTATAAGGATTGAATTAAGACAGCATTTTTATCAATATACAAGATGACCACTTACCATTTACATGTGTAGTTCGGCATGTGTATTCAGGACAACAAACTCCCGGATGATAAGTAGGTTCACAATTGTCGTAATCGTTATTGGGAATTGGAGGACATGCTTGATGAATGCACGTGAGATCAGGTGGAGTATCACAAGAGCACGTGACACAATTAGTTGGATGATTAATATCCAAAACTTCACCTCTGGCATAATATTTCCGATCAAAGTAGCAGAGATTACCTGAAAATTTAACATATACACATGTCTTTTCACAAGAAAAACAAAGAATCAGGCTTCACGCCGTGTTTCTAGCATTAATTTTCTTTAAAACTTCACCTGAAGTAAATATTGAGGAGGTAAAATTGTCGAGTTTTTGTAATTTTTTTTGTTGTTGACAGAAGTGTTCTTATTAACCAACGGGTATATTAATTTCGTGGATTAAATTAAATTATTCTGAAATTTTGTGCTAACAATAATTACATTCGAAGTGGCTTATACAGTTAAACGAGTACAAGATAAACAACATGCGAACAACTGAGAAAAAGATCAAATTGTTTCTATTACGTAACAGAGAAAGATAATATTGAAGGTGTTTTTCTTTGTAGCCAGCTAAGGTGTGTAATTTATGCCTGAAACGTTATATGAAAGAATAAGTGAAATATTGACGCTATTATAAATGTTCTACTTTATTAGTAATAGATTTGATTTCAAAAGAAAAAAAGTTGTTTATTTTATGCTATTGTTAAGCTTCCTCCGTGGAAAAATATAATTAGGAAGTTATTATAAACCTTGTTTAAGGTATCCCTGCCATTATCCGTTTGTGTTTACGAAGTTTTGCCACATTTTTTTTAAATTAAAAAATTTAGACAAAGGCGAAAAAAACATTAATAAAATTATGATTTGTAAACAGTTAATTTTAAGAGCAAATATGGATAATTTAGTTAAACGTCTCTTGACAGTATTCGAGCACTTCTTTCGAATATTTGTTTGTCTTTGAATTTCGCGCAAAGCTACACGTGGGCTATCTGAGCTATCCGTCCTAATTTAGCAGTGAAAGACTAGAGGGAAGGCAGCTAGCCATCCCCACCCACCGCCAACTCTGCGTTACTATATACATATTGTAAAAGTTTTAATAGTTCTGAGGAAGAAGATTTTAAAATAAGTATAAACTGACAAAATTTCACGAATCTCTTGGTATTCAATGTTTACGAATCTTTTGCCGAGTGCAAAAAAAAAGCCATTATTTTATTTTGTTTTTAAAATGTATGCGAAAACAACAAATCGATCATTTTATAATTTGGTTTATAAAAATCATAGTTACTTTCTGGTTAGATGTAATATAAAGCAAAGTTTGAATATATTTCAACTTTTAGGACAGCAAAAGTATGGTTAAGGTATTAGTACGATAGCATGTCCTTGGGCGTACCACACTAGTGTGCGTTTATAAATTCATTTAAATTTGAGTTTTGGTAAATTTGGAAATTTTCACTTTTCTAATATTATCTTAAAACTGCTTTAGAACTCGGAACGTTTACGATCTTTGAGTTGATTGTGTGCCAAATGATTTTAGACGCTTTAATTACTAAACATGATTTTTATTAATTGTGTAATTGTCAAACGTCTGAGATGTGATTAGAACCACCTAGTAGTTGTATTTATGACCCTTTAATTAAAGCTGTACTTAAGTCATTTTACTACCTTCAATGAAAAACCGAACAAAATTCCTATAAATGATTCATGTCAGATTTTGTTCCCTCCTAACTAAATCCTATTCAATACAAAATTAATTGATTCACCTTGTACATTTGTTTTTCTTTACTGTTACAAAATCGGACAACTCTTCTTGTCCCACTTCTTAATTAAAGCTCGTTTAACAAAATCTCCTGGGCTAAGCGTGGACTTTTGGTTAGCATGTCGAAATGTGCATCAGGAGGTCCATGGTTTGCGTCCCGTTACTGGAAAACATGCTCCGCACTGTGAGTTCTGGTTGTGTTATAAGAATGATGAGCAAATCATAATTCAATTAAGGTCATCCAAAAGCTAAAGATAGATGCCTTTCCTCTAGTCTATCGGTTCAAATTAAGGATAGTTAGATCAGATCGCCGGGACAAATTCATTATATTCCTTTCCCAGTTTTTTTCGATATTTCACAAAATTACTCAATTATTCCTCTTCATGGTTGAAGCCAATTTATTACAAAATTATCATTTTCTTTCTTAATTTAGGCCTACCTTTTAACGACCCAATTTAATATTTATATAATTTTGTTTTGTTCTGCATCTTCATTGATAACTTGCTTCATAACTTACGTGCTTTATATTTCTCGGGCATACATTCGAAGATATTTAGTTGCTCTTGCAACTACCACACACAAACACCTTACAGTATTTGTTTCTTCAAATTATTGAACTACTTTTTGATTTAAGTAAACAGAGGACTGTTTTTTGGTTGAACACAGCAGGAAGTAAATAAGAAACAATAAGTGGTACTTGGTACATCATCATATTGACAGCCCTTGTGAGAACGCTTAATAAAAATAAGTTATGGATTTCTCCCAAAGCTACACGAGAGCTTTCTGCGCTAGCCGTCCTTAAGTTAGCATTGCAAGACTAGAGAGAAGGCAGCTAGCCATTACCACCCACCGCCAACTCTTGGGCTACTCTTTTACCAACGAATAGCGGGATTGACAGTCAAATTATAACGCACCCACGGCTGAAAGGGCGAGCATGTTTGGTGGGACGGGGATTCGAACCCGCAGATTGAGAGTCGAGCGCCTAACCACCTGGCCACGCCGGGCCGATAAAAATAAAACCCTGAAGATGATGGTTCATGTTGTCCACCGAAACTTATTGTACATGTGGAAACGTTGGTGTCGTTATTCTATGTTGTTTTCTTTAATGACCAATTGTTAAGCAATGTTGTTTGTGTGAATAAAATATATTTGAAGTGTATAACACCAATCTTAATTCGTGAAGCTGAATTAATGCTTATTAAGACTATTCTTCTGAATCCATGTAAATGTTCTTGTTTAAAGCTTAATTTATCAACTCTAGGAAAATGTATATTTTACTGAGCCACGTAAACTAATATACATACACATACACACACACACACACATTATTCTCAACTTAACAATAACATTAAATTGATCTTACAAATCAATGTTTTCGGTTTACGTTTAATATAACAATAAAAGCTTTACTGTGTATTCATACTTTCTTTCGTAAATATTTAGTAGTTAAGGTAGACAAATATCACTCATGATTCTGTTGCGGTATTTTTAAGATGATGATATCACAAAAGGTATATTTCTATTAATCGTAAAGTTTACTATTATAAATGTCTTTGTACTTTAAGCTTTCAGAAAACAATTAATCTCCCCAACAATTTATAATCCTTACTTTTACTTTCTGATTCCACTGCTTTTTCAAGTGTAGTGTTTTCTCCTGATGCTGGGTGAAAAATAAAAAAAATATCAAACATTAAAGTATTAAAAATCAAAATAAGCCATTCAACATAGTCAGACTAATATTTGATTCTGCTAATTTTTAACTAATTCCAGAAATATGAAAATATACAATCAGAAACTTTAATTATATTAAACGTTCATGTAATAGCTGCTAGATCAAACTTATGAATGCCCTCTTTTCTCATCAGAAAATATTAAAATTATTTACATGATCCCAGAAAATAAATTAAAATGGTAGGACTAATATTAAAGAACGAACAAAGTGAGAGCCTCAAGTGTTTGTTCTAAAATCTTTACTTTCTAAACTAAATTTGTTCCAGTTTCATGTAACAATAGGTGCTACTATGTGTTTAAATAAACTTACATTTCAATAATGGTTGGAGACTGCTTGAATTGGTAATGAAGAAAAACTTTAATATAAGTTTAACATTACAGCAAATGTACAACGTTTCGACAAGGTTTTGTTATCACCTGATGATATATATTGCATATATTGCATTTGACTCCCCCCCCCTCCATTCACAATCACCTTACCTGGTTTTTGCTTAGTCAAACTGTTTAATGGAATGTGTATGCTACACGATGACACAATATCGTTGTCATCACGTGACACGCCTGGTTTCAATTTCACTTTAGTTATTTTTTTTTTTTTTATTTGCAAAGTATTTCACAAACACTTAACCTTCGTTTAATTTCCTTAAAATAATAAATAATAAGCTAAGTTTGGTTTCATTACAACTTTATATTTACTATACCATTATTTAGCTTCGGTTGGTTTCATAGACTGCTATAACACCTTTTACCTACTTTTTCCATTAGTATGGATTTTATTTCCTTTTGTTTGTTGCAACTTTGTTTCAACTCGTAAAATCGTGTTATACACTGAACCCTCATAACCGTTTCATACTCTGTACACCATTATGAATAGTTAATTTACTTTTAATTTATTAAATCAAGTTACGTCTACGTGAGTTTGACCACATAAAAAGTTTATTCAAATAGACCAGGATTTATCGATCCAACACAATGGCTGCAAGAAAGCTTAACTTAAATCCCATGCGTGAAAAATGATAGAATGAGGAAAATAAGTCGCAGCTAGTTAAATAAAAATACTGCAATTAAACCTAACTCAAAGTAATTATTGTTCTTGCACTCAGTAGGCATATGAGGCAATTATGTCGTGTTACTCCCAACAGATACTTTGTTCTGTAACATGGATGAGGTCTGTTACAGTAGTGATGTTTGCTTGATAACAGAAATGAAATCACAAATAAGAGTAGTTCTACTGGATAACGGTAGTCGAAAACGGATTATATCACCTATAACAATGATATTCTATCGTATGGCTGTACGATAATAACAGCAGCTAGAAAGCGATGAATAGGTTTGGCAGCATTTAAAGATGTGACAAAAAAAAGAAACATATGGAAGAGATAATGAAGATTCTGTGAAAATAATGAATAGTTTAAAAGATTTGGGAAAAGAAAGTGTGGTTAAATTTAATTGGATCGTCAAACTGACCATTCAGTAGTATGGAAAAGAGAAACTTATCAACGCTGTCAAGATCAGTTTTTGAAGTTTAAGAAAAACTTTTTTTTAACTGAACATTTCAATCCTTCTTTGCTGCAACTCAGTCTCTGAATTACGACTACGTTTCAAAAGCATTTCACGTACACAATTTAATTAACCAGTTTTGCTTGATGAAGATCTGCGCAAGCATCTAGAAACATCCTGCGAAAACTTTTAAAACAGATGCAGTCTGCAAAGTTCTCCAATATAGTACAGTCTTCTCTGCATAAACATTTCTTAAGCAAGGGAAGAACTTAAGTGAGAGAACCAGTAACATACACATGAAATAATACGGAACTATTTAAGGAATAGATACAACATAGAAGAAATTGGAAGATGTTTGGGTATAAAAAAATTAGAAGAAACCAGTAGTAAATATAGAAAGCTGGTATGAAATTCATAAGGAGCTGAGAAATTGTGTAAATAATTCAAATGTTTCGTGTTCAATGTTGTATGCTTAATTTAATTATAAAATAACGTACGATATACTTAACAGAATAAGTCCAATTAATTTATTACTTAGTCTTTATTTTACATTGGTAACAGAAGTAACGTTTTTAAAGCCAGTTATAACTTAATGGATAACATATGTTACGTTATTAATGAAAGTGATACGATATTTGGTAACAAAAGACATGTTATTAATTTCGGTAGTGTTATATTGGATAACAGAAGTCACGTTACTCACGACAGTGGTACTCTATTGGGCAACAGCTACTGGGATAGTAGATTGGAAGACATCCTCTTCTAAGTCGGGGGAGGTCCTCTTCTAACAGACAGTCTACTTTCCTACAACTAGCACTATTTAATCCGCTCCATTCTTTAGTACAGATACATGTTAAGCAACTGTCTTCATCAGGATATATCTTTTGTCCCAATTCATAAGTTTTTCCGTTGTATTCACAAGTAGCGCCTGAAAAATAAAATAAAAAAGCTGTATACATATTCTAAACAGATCTTAAGATGTACTGTTCAACTGTTTACATTGTAAAGACAAGTTATTTCAATGGTAGCTCCGACATGACTGCAAGAATATTTGAAGAACCCCTTAAGTTACAACAACCTCAAATTATAGAGAAATTTCAGTTTTGTAACAATACTAACGCTCTTTTACTGTTGCTATCGTTCTTGTAACTTCTGTGGAACATTACCTCTCAGATACTCCGCTTAAAAATATAAAAACAACTTATTGCCAGATGTTTCTAGCTTTCTCTACTGTTACTCTTACATGAACAAAGCTGATCCTCATTCATCACAAACTAATCATTATCTATTGGTTCCATCTCGCAGCATTTAGAAATTTACTGTGATGTAGACAGCTGCAACTTCACACCGTACCAGTACTCGGATGAATTACAACGAGACCAGCCTGTATCTTTGTATGACAGATCCCAATAAGGTGCATTTTACTTACAGCAACGCGCAAAACGATAGAGTAAAGAATGGGTCCAGTGAATGGACAACATCAGAACATTGTTATGATTTACAAATGAGTTTCGTTTCGCTCCACAATCCGACAACAGGCACATAACTCGTTTAGAGAGAATCTTAGGTCGGATCCATCCAATTTCTACATAGAAAAGTAATGCACAAGACGTGGGAGGAGGTGTGAATGGAACAGAAATAAGCAGTGCTGATTGTATCGACTTCTACATCCTGCGGACTGATACTATTATTCCCGCAAATGGAGATTACATCCTACGGACATTTATGCTACTATATGCAATTGACTATAGCCTGACATGTGATAACATCAACTACCACTGTCGACAAATCCCTTTAACAAAAAGTATATTAATGAAAAGAAGTAACCTTTACGGCCACCAGATTTCAGTCCCGTACAGTATGTGTGGGATGCTTTTGGGAACCTCGTCACATTCCATCAAATGACTAGAATATACAACTGCCCTGAATACCACTCTTTCAGGGAAGTGGTCGAGAATAAATCAGGATCTTATCAACACTCCGTTTGTGATGACCATACTTCGGGTTGAAGTAAAATCTCGAACTATAAAGATAAAACTATATCTACGAAATGCTCAATTCCTATTGCATGCTAAATGATAAATCACTTAATTTCAAGACTATACGAGAGCCCCCAGTGATTCAACGGTAAGTCTGATGTTTTATAACGCTAAAAAACCTGGTTTCGATACCCGTGATGGGCACAGCACAAACAGCCATTGTGTAGCTTTATGCTTAACTTCAACCAAACCAAATCTAGATATATTATTACAAATTACGGTTGTCCTTTAATTCCTTTAAGTAGTGTAGATAAACTTCTCGGAGTCTTTCTTCATGTAAATACTTTTGTTTATTACTTCGAGCTACTCTTACATGAACAAAGCTGATATAAAACTGCTTTCCAAACCAATATCAGTCGTTCAGGCTCCTGAACGACTGATATTGGTTTGGAAAGCAGTTCTACATCCTGCTAACAACATTGAGAAACTTGAGCAATTCAACAACTGTTGTAGTTAGTTTGCTTCCATTTGTCCGATGACTCTAGATAAGTTTCGTGGGTAAAAGAGTAGTCCAAGAGTTGGCGGTGGGTGGTAATGAGTAGCCGACTTCCCTCTAGTCTTACACTGCTAAATAATGAACAGCTAGCGCAGATAGCCCCCGTGTAGCTTTGCGCGAAATTCAAAACAAACAACCTCTAGGTAGGTAAAAACATTCAAATGTATTCTCCCAAACTTAACCATGAATCAAGAAAAACATTGAGTACATTGAATTCAGATTAATTTCAAACGGTCTTACTTAAAGTATACTATAAATAGTATACATGAATGATAATTTGTTTGTATTTTAGATCTAATCACATCAGATACCTGATCTTAAGTAAGACCTAACGGAGTGAATACATTTATTATAAAACAATAGTTTGCCTTGTCAAAGCTATAATGTTACAAATTCAGAATATCTATAATAGTCTGAGCAGCGTAATTTTAATACAAACATCACATTTCTAAAATATTGCTCTTAATATTTTTTTTTAACATTGTTGTAGGCTTGATAAACCGGTAACATTACCTATTTTTGGAGGTGCAAGTAGTTTAACGCTAAAAAACGCAGCATAAACTTTCATAGACTTAGTAGCATTTTTGGTGTGATTTTTTTATTCTTATATAAATTAAGTAAAAATAAATCGAATTTTAGTGTAATATCAGAACTCTGGCTACAAAAACTCGACTTTCAATAGTGATAGCTGAAATAACTGTGTTTAAGCTTTAAGAAAATTGATAGCGTTATTTTTTTTAGAGGGATATTGTACTTTTCTTTAATAACTAAAAATCAGTTGTTAGAACAAAAACTGTTAAATAATTACATATAAAAGGTTTGTATTGCGTTTCAAAAGAGCCAGTGGTGTTTATGTTTATTGCCAAAATAATAAAATGACAATTTGTTACAAAGCATTACACAAATTACACAATGATTACTTACGTTGGGATTCTTGGTTGCTCTCGTATTCTAAAAAAATAGAATAAAGTATATTTATTACCCCCGTAAAATACCATATTTCCGTCTTTATAGCTTTCTGAAATAACTATAATAGGTAACAAATGAGTTATTTTTAAATAACTAATTTTAGTTATCTAACTACCACCAGATGTCACTTAAATAGGTTTAAGCTTCGCAAAATTCAGGGCCGTCTTTCAAGGTATTGCACTATTAAAACATACAACAGCATTATCTCAGTTAATTTCATATGTATATAATAAAAACAAAGGACTCTGTAAAGATCATATATTTCTAAATAATAAAATTAAACGTTTATAAAGAAAACAAATTCATGAGAAACTGACATTAGAAAGTTGCTGTATTTGCAAGAACAAGTAATGATTGGAATACTTTATTCACAGCTACACAAACGTTCTAGTTGCTAATGCATAAAACAAACAATAATTTACGTTTTACTACATTTGTTTTGAAATTTTGTAACTTGTATCATGTGTACATGCCAACAGGGATATACACCTGAAGATGGCGCTGTTTTGGGTTGTATTCTGGTTGAATGTCCCGAACTATTCTCGCCTCCACCGAAACCTGGATGTTACCATATTTACGATAAAGAAAGTTGCTGTTCTGTCCGTACAGCATGTGGTAGGTTTTGTGATAAAACAATGTTTCTTTGATAACATTCGTACTTACATTTGCTGAAAATAGGAACAATTATTTAAACGTAATGTAAACTTTTTTCTTCTATGACCCCGTTTGCCAACGGTGTTGTAACATATATATAAACGAAAATCATAAAATTTATTTGGTAATTTTGTATCTTGCATTGGTAACTTATTGAATGATCCATTTGTCTTACTCTGATTGCCATGTATACGTTTTACAAAACTAGTCTTGCTAGGGAAACTTGCGAATATTTCAGATAACCTAAATTAGAAACATTAAATACACCTAGGTACATATATTCGACATGGATCAGCAACGTCGATTTCTTGCCCAAGCTGATAAGCTTTTCCTCGATAGGTGCACACTTCAAACAAATAAAATATAATTTTATTGCTTGGAGCATATGACTTGATTTGATTTAAGATCTTACTGCGGAGCTAAATTTAAAAGTTGTCAGGCCAAACCACCTTTAAGGAATTTCGAGTATCATACGGACGTTTACGATTTGAGGTATTTTTGAAATATAATTCATAATACATGAAAGCACAACCTAGAAAAAGGTCAATAGCCAACTTCTGCACAAAATGTTAAGTTTATAATTTAAAAATCACTCAACATTCGTACTTTCTATATGCAATTAAATACAATACCATCGTATATAAATTACATTATATTGACTTAGAATCATTTTGTTTTGTTACAATTTTACCACTTCTATTTTACCTGGATCATACTGAAAAGATTTAAGAACTAGATCAGCTTTATAATACACGATTTAGGACCACTCTTATAATAACTGTACTAGTTCTAAAATACCTGGGTCGTTTTTAAGAATGATATTTCAAATAAACTGGATTATTTTCGATCCAATAAAAATTTTACATAATGGAATTTTAGATTCCATACTGATAATTAGAATCAAAGAATGAAGCCATATTTTTAAAAACACCTACATCTAAAAAAATCACTCGCTATCACTTACTACAGCGATTCATCACCTCTATTACAAGGTACAATGGTTATAACATTATAAATGCACCTTCAAAACGACCAATTTAAAACAATTTCTAGCATGAATGACACACTTGAGCACTCTAGAAGCAGACATTTACATTTCTTTCGGTACTTTCGATATTGTTTCCAAGTATCTTCTGAACGGTGTTGTTATTCACTGGCTGATTAACAGTTAAAGCATTTATATATATTCCTTAACTAATCATACCTGCTGAACTGTTATTCATTGGCTGCCTGACACTTAATATAACATGAGATCTATTGGTTCATCCCGGCTGTTCCATCGTCTATACTAAGCTATTAATAAATTGATTTAAACAAGCTTAAAGCCAGCCCATATCATTTATATACTTATCAAGCTCGTTCTTAAACTTACTTCCTACACAACATCTCAAGGCAACTCATTCCAAAATAAAAGTCTTAGCTGAAGATAACTCTTATCCTGTCAATATTTATTTGTCTCCTAGTCTTATTATTATTATTATTATCATCACTGTTAAGTATGAAAAAAGATTATGCCTCAACACTATCAATCCCCTTTACAATCCTAAACACCTCATTCAGATAACCCTAATTCTTGTTTTGTTCCCCCCCCCTCAAGAGAAAACAGATTTCAACCTGTTCTCGTATGACAAACCCTCCATCCCAGACACCATTCTAGTAAGCTTTCTCTGAACCCTTTCCAACAATTCAGCGTCTTTCCTAAGGAAAGAAGTCCAAGCCAATATATTCCAAATGTGGCCTAACCATGACCTATACAATGAAATT